ATTGCCTAGTGGAATTGAGTCAATGCTGGTAACTATAACAAATACAATGGTAGCAATACAACAAACGATGCAGGAGCTTATGCGCAACCAAAATCTCCTCCTGGAGCTCCTAATCAAACAGAAATCTGTTTAAATGTCCTGTCTAAATATATGTTTCTGGAATGCAAATGGCATTTCTCAGCACAAATGCGAGCTCTTACAGTTCCTCGCTCAACACGACATTGACGCCATGCTCATATCAGAGACTCACCTAACAAATAAAAACTATTTTCACCTCAATGGCTATAACTTCTATGCGACAAATCATCCCGATGGTAAGGCACATGGAGGTACTGGCGTTCTGATCAAGAATCGCATTAGGCATTATCCATTGCCTTCATTTGCTACACCTTATCTACAGGCAACAGCAATTCATATTGAAATTCAGAGCGGCTACCTAAACCTAGCCGCAGTATACTGCCCACCACGTTTCTGCATTTCCGAAACAGAATTTGTAACATTCTTCGACCTACTAGGTTACCGATTTATAGCAGCTGGTGACTACAATGCCAAGCACACCCATTGGGGATCTAGACTTACCAACCCGAAAGGAAGACAACTATATAACGCTATAATAACCCCACGAAACAATCTAGACTTTATCTCTCCGGGCAAGCCCACATATTGGCCCACAGATCCAAACAAGCAACCCGACTTGATTGATTTTGCAGTTACACGAAGGGTGCTGCAAGCTCAGATTAATGTAGATCACTTAACAGATCTATCATCGGATCACTCGCCCATTCTACTTCACCTTTACGACCATCCACAGCATTCGGAACGCCCACACTTTCTAACTTCTAGCAAAACAGATTGGCTCAAATACAGGAAGTACATAAGCTCTCATATTGATAGCTGCCCAAACATTAATTGTAAAGATGACATTGATAGGTCAGTCGAAGCATTGGTTTCCTCAATGTCACTGGCGGCAAAACACTCAACACCAATATTAGCATCTAATAAACATTCCAACAGCAGTCGTATTTCTAGGCACATTGAAGTGCTGCTACGCGATAAAAGAAGGCTTCGCCGAGAGTGGCAAGCACACAGATCACCTGCATCGAAAGAGCGGCTAAAAATAGCCAACCACCTACTACGCAGAGCCCTAGAAGATGAAAAAAACCGAGCTCAAATATCCTATATGGAGCAACTCTCCCCAACTAGCAAACGATTCCCACTGTGGAAAGCAAAATCAGGCGTATGCCCACCAATCGAGAGTGAATCACCTTTGCGTACACAAACAGGAGAGTGGGCTCGCAGCAACAAAGAGAAGGCAAATACATTTGCCGTCCATCTAGAAAACGTCTTCAAACCGCACCCAGCAACGAATAGCTTAGTGCTCCCACCAACCAACAATCCCGAAGCTACTCCGCCTATCATATTCCAAACAGGAGAAGTCACAAGGGTCATTAAAGACCAAATCTCAAAGCAAAAGAAAGCTCCGGGCCACGATTTCATCTCTCCTAAAATGATCATAGAATTGCCGAGCTGTGCAGTGTATTTTCTTACTATGATATTCAACAGCATGATGAAATGGGGCTATTATCCTCAAGAATGGAGGAAATCAGTCATCACAATGATCCATAAAGCCGGAAAAGACAAGTCCAAGCCATCATCATATAGACCTATCAGCCTACTGCCTTGCCTATCAAAGATATTTGAAAAGCTGCTCCTGAATCGTATCAAACAACACCTACACATCAACGGTGCCATCCCGACTCACCAATTTGGATTTCGCGAAAAACACGGAACCATTGAACAAGTAAACCGTATAACCTCTGAGATACGAAATGCATTTGAAAGACGGGAGTATTGCTCCGCTGTTTTTCTGGATGTCGCACAGGCTTTCGACCGCGTTTGGTTAGATGTCTTAATCCACAAAATCAAAATATTACTTCCACAGAACATCCATGGAATAATGGAGTCATACCTACAGCAAAGAAGTTTCGCAGTACGATGCAAAGATTTCCTCTCTGAATATCATCCAATTGAAGCTGGTGTACCGCAAGGCAGCGTGCTTGGACCGACACTGTATATCATATTCACAGCAGATCTACCGACAAACAGCCTAACAACAACTTCGACATTTGCTGATGATACTGCCATATTAAGTCGCTCCAAGTGCCCAAGAAGGGCCACGGATCACTTATCATCTCATCTCGTGGCCTTAGAAAAATGGCTAGCAGACTGGCGGATACATGTAAACGAGCAAAAGTGCAAGCATGTCACCTTCACGTTAAACAGACAAACTTGCCCTCCATTATGTCTGAACAATATCAACATTCCACAAACCACCGAAGTAACATACCTTGGTGTTCATCTGGATAGAAGGCTTACTTGGCGTAAGCACATCGAAGCGAAGAGAAATCTACTTAAATTTAAAGCTAGTAATCTACATTGGCTAATAAACACCCGTTCACCACTAAAACTGGAGTACAAAGTACTTTTGTACAATGCAGTTCTCAAACCTATCTGGACATACGGCTCCGAGCTATGGGGAAATGCTTGCGTTAGTAATTTAGAAATAATCCAGAGAGCTCAATCGAAGATACTAAGAACTATTACTGGGGCACCATGGTACATACGGAATGAAAATATCCATAAAGACTTAAATGTAGGATCAGTTAAAGATGAAATTGCCAAAGTGAAAGCAAAGTACCAGGCCAAGCTTCAAGCCCATCCTAATAGACTTGCGCAGTCTTTAACTTGGCACACTAGCCATACACGACTCCGGCGAAGAGACCTTCCCACCCAGCAATAATACTTAGCTAGGGACGTACTCTAAGTAATTAAGTGTAAATAATTAAATAAATATATTAGGCTAAGATTTGTATACTTGTCGTAAGTCTCTAATAGGGAAGATTCGATAAATAAAATACCGTAATAAAAAAAAAAAAATACCACCATGCAAAAATTCTTAAGTGAAGGGTATATCTCGACAGCGCTGTAAAAAACCGCATGCATCTAGAGTGCTTGAGAATACGTGTGCACATAGTATAAAGTCGTCGGCTGCCGCTGTATGCGTACAAGACAGCCGTTGGCTCTAGAGCGCTCTCTCTCTCTCTCTGGCTTTTTAACAAAATTTAAAAAGAGCCTGGAGCCAGCCTGAAAAATATGAGTGCCAAAATTTTGTATGGCGTTACGCATCTTATTGTTATATTGTCTTTGGCAATGACCCCAAACAATGCAGGGAGTGAACTGATGAAGGAGCTCATGGCCGAGAACGTCGAATTTCGCGTGGAGTTCGTTGAGTCAAGCACTGCATTGACTGTTAACTTTCATTCTGGCTCTTCGAATGCTGTTGTTGATTTTAAACAAATCGCAGCAAGTTCCAGGTGCTCCAACAGGTCCAAGAGTACGCAACATAATAGTTCTGGCAAACAAGGCCTTCTTTATAAATCATTCGAATAAGCAGCAACCCATGGAATGGTAATATTGGAAAGGATGGGTTGTACCACTGCAATTCAGATGAGCGGTGTGAATTCACATAAAAACAAGAAGGAACGTGTGAGTCGCTTCTGGGGACGCGACTCTACTTATACCCGTACTCAGTCAGTATATACATTTTTGAGCTTATGATTTCTAAGAATTAGAAAATAAAAATTTTTTTTTTGCTACATCCATTATCTACATCTAAAATGAATATTATAAATTTTACATGTACATTCTACATGTACGATTTAGATTCTGCATCTCCTCCTCTAGGGGTTGATCGCACACTGAACGCGGCAGAGTGTGCGAGTGAGAAAGAGAATAAATAGCGTTTCTCTGGCAGGGGGAGGCGGAGGAAGCAACTAAAAATGAATTTCTTCATTCTGGCTATAATTATGATCCGATCTGATTCAGATTCGGCAATCTGGTAGATGTGGTCATTCTCTACGATACTGCGTTTTTAGTTTTATCGTATCTTTAAAATTGTGCCTGCCACAGATTTTCGTTCTTTGTGGGGGCAGAAGGGAGCGGGACGAAATTTTGAAATACTCTTGTAGCAGCGTGATATCACATGAGTCTGGAAACCAAATTTGGTTTCTCTAGCTCTTATAGTCTCTGAGATCTAGGCGCTCATCGAGACGAACAGACAGACAGACAGACGGACAGACAGACATGGCTCTATCGACTCGGCTATTGATGCTGATCAAGAATATATGTATATACTTTATGGGGTCGGAAACGTTTCCTTCTCTGCGTTACACACATCCACTTTTACCACACATCTAATATACCCCTTAACTCTTTTTTGAGTACGGGTATAAAAAATACAAAATTCAGGAGAACATCAATATTTATGGGGCAGTTAGGAAGTATGTCTGCGAGTAAGTACACAACGATAGTATTTCATAAAACTAAATTAAATTTGTCCTTTTTTTCAGAGTTTGTCCCTCTGACCAAGGGAGAGGAGGTAAAGAAAATAATAATGATAATATTAAATAAATGGCTCAGCCACTAACCATACAGTACTGTATGGTTAGTGCTTCCGTACAGAGCCTAGAAAACAGTTTCGACCCAAAAAAATTTCTTAATGGTTTCATACGAATATCAAGACTGATTCTGTTCGTGAGGTGTTTTTTCGGATCTGAGTGCTAGACAGATCAAAAATAAAATTTTGGCGCTAAAAAGTTGTAATTATGCGAAAAGGTAAACATATACATAAAATCCGCCATTAAAATACTTTAAACTGATTGTATTATTATCATATATATGAGAGTCAATTCTCTTTCATCCATTTTATTGTCGTCTTGCATAATTCTGTTCATTTCCCAAAATTTGGTTCCTTTCTTGTCATCAAGCACCCAAATCAGCTGTTTTCAAGACACACGTCTGCCAATGTAAACGCCTTTTCTGCTTCATTGCGTCTATTCCGATATCGATAGCAGACACGCCCAGTGTTAAAAGGCTATAACTTTCTCGTCAGTGTCTCTGTCCAAATTTACATGAATCTGTAGTTAATTAGTAGCAAATGTGTAGTTAGCGTGTAGTTACCATGTAAAACATAAATCACAATTACTGATTTGGTTGTGCAATAGCGTACGCGTGTGTTTTATCTATTAAAACTGCAAAATGAGCGGGCTTAGAGTTCGCGGCTTATTGGCCCTCAGTGCGACAGCACTGGGAGCATTTTATATAGGCTCCCGCACAGAACGTGAACGTCTCCAGCAGAGCAGCGATGTTTTTCCGCGCTTGCCTGGACTGCCGTCATTTGGAACAGTTTCGGCCGCAAGTCTCGTGCCTGCTGCCAATGATGCGAACCTGACTGTTTCGCGAGTTTCGCAGATCATGAAGTATGGCTTTCCCGGACTAGACCACGTTCGCTCTCATTCAGACTATGTGCTCTCCTACGACCGTCGCAATCGTATTCCCCATTGGGTGTTTGAGCACCTAACAGAGCAGTCAGTGGCAAGAAACGATGCCGTGGATCGTTCGAAATGCGACTTCAAGGCAGATGAGAGCATACATCCCTTCTTCCGATCACAGAACACAGACTACAGGAAGTCGGGCTTTGATCGCGGGCACATGGCTGCCGCTGGCAACCATCGACTTCACCAGAAGCACTGCGAGGAAACCTTCTACCTGTCCAACATGGCTCCCCAGGTGGGCCAGGGGTTCAATCGTGACGCGTGGAACTCTCTGGAGATGCACGTGCGTAAGCTAACCAAGAGCTACTCAAATGTGTATGTTTGCACGGGTCCGCTGTACCTCCCCCACAAGGGGGAAGACGGCAAAATGTATGTGAAGTACGAAGTCATCGGGCCCAACACTGTGTCCGTGCCCACTCACTTCTATAAGGTTATTGTGGGCGAGGCGGCCGATCGTAAACTCCACATGGAGGCATATGTTATGCCCAACAAAGTGATTAGCAACGACACTCCGCTGAAAGTGTTCCAGGTACCACCAGAGACGGTGGAGCGGGCGGCTGGCCTGCTCTTCTTTGATCAGATTAACAGAAAGCAGCTCTCCAGTATCAACGGCAAGAAAGTTTGAGTTCCAGGGAAGTTTAGTTCAATTTTAGTGTTGTATTTGTGTACCAAGTGTACCTTTATATAATTTTTGTTCTTTTCCAAAGAATTTAGTTGTTGATTAATAAATTTAAACAATTAATACAGATAAACATAAGTAGATGAGGCGATGCGCGGGTGTTTGTGAGGAAATAGCAAAGCGAAGGGGATGGATGTGTGAAGAATCTATGTCTGGGCGCTGGCTGATTGATGTGTGTTGGCGTTGCGAGGGCACTCATAAGGTTCTCTACATGCTACCATCGTTCTTGGATCGCACGTCGTCGATCTTGAGTATCATCTTGACGAGCTGGGTGGACAACAGGATCTGCTGTTTCTTCGAGTTCAACGACTCCACAACGTTGTGGCTCTTCATGTCCGAATCACCGGTCAGCATGCAGTCAACACCCAAGCTAGGTTTCTTTTCGGCGACCTGACTGGCCTTCAACTCGGACAGCGTTTCAATCGGATGCAGACCGCTGTTCTCGGCCAGGGCCAGTGGAATACTCTCCAAGGCCACAGAGAAGGCGCGGAATGCGTACTGCTCCAGGGTAGACAGCTGGTCGGCCTCCTTGGCCACAGCCAGGGAGCAACTGATCTCTGCGGCTCCACCACCGTACACAATACGCGAGTCTTTGACCAATGAGCGCACCACGCAGATGGCATCGTGGATAGAGCGCTTGGCCTCAGCAATGATCATTGCGTTGCCTCCGCGCAGGAAGATTGTGACTGCCTTTGAGTTTTTGCACTCCTCAATCACAAGCATTTTGTCCTTCGACGTGCCGAAAGCTGAAAGTGAAGACCTCAATCAATTTCTGTGCTCCGAGGCATGTGCAAGACATCAACACTCACCCATCTCACGCACGAGACCGGCAGATCCGAGCTTCTCAGGAGTCAGCTCCTCAAAACGCGGCACAATGCGACCACCAGTGGCAATAGCGATGAGCTCTATCTCAGGTCCACCTACCCAGCGTACTGCGGGGAGTTCCTGCTGCAGCAGCAGATGGTTGGCTTCGTCATCGAAGCCCCACTGACAGATAGCGAGAGTGGCGCCGGCGTCTTTCACTTGCTTCACCATCTGGGTAAACTTCTCCTGCTCGTACTCGCGCAGCGCCCTGTAGTCCTCCGCAGAGGTGACATCCAACTTATGCTTGGTCTTGGGCTTGGGCGGCTCAAATGGGCAGGTGAGGATGGCCAGCTTAACATTTCTCAACTCCTTGGGCATTTGCGAGTGACTAAGGGTCTTGTCCACAATGACGCCCTTCACCAGCATCGAATCCTCCATGCGACCTCCGACCTTAGTCTCGATCTTGATGAGCTCAAAGTTGACATCCTTCTTTTCAATGTCGGCCACATTGAGGACGGCGTCGACTGCCATCTCCGCCATTTGACGATGGCATTTGTTCACAATCTTGCTGCCCAGCGTGGTCATAGCTATCTGAATGAGCGGTTCCTTATTGTTCGGATCCACGGGGAAGGGTTCAGCAATTAAATCGAGCTGCTTGATGGCGCACTGGGCAGCCAGCTCGAAGCCATCCGCAATGCGAATGGGATGAATGCCACGGTCGATCAGACCCTCTGCCTGCTCCAGCAGTGCACCGGCCAACACAACAACGCCAGTGGTGCCGTCGCCAATTTCATCGTCCTGCGACTGCGACAGCTGCACCATTAGCTTGGCAATCTCGTGCTCCACCTCCATCAGCTTCATTATGGTGGCACCGTCATTTGTGACAGTCACATCGCCATCAGAACTGACCATGATTTTGTCCAGACCCTTGGGTCCCAGGGATGTCTTCACAGTCGAGGCAATCTGACGTGCCGCCATAATATGCGTCTGCAATGAACACCAAAACCCAGAACCGAAAGTTAATAACGTATTTTTCACCAACTATAAGTTTACTCTGAGCGCGTGACTCAGTCGGTACGCCGCGGCGTTCTAAGGGCGAACATCTGTGCGGCTTTTTAACCTCAAAATTTGCCACATGACGTCAGCTTAATGTATTTTCTGTCTCAATAATATAGTTGAAGAAAAAAAGCGCCTCAAACATCCATGTTCACTTCACCAACAGAATATATAAGACTTATTCAGTAGGCATTTCACTGTGTCCCCTCGCATAAATATGCCGGCTGGCATGAACATCTGGAACATTCGGCAGACGGTGCGTCATTGATGCGCGAGACAGTGCTACAATACTCTGGAGGAAGACTTTTTGGTGCCGTTTTCTTGTAATTCAATCCTTTTACAAGGAGCTTTCTCCGCTTGGGGCGATGGAATCCTAGTTTTCATTTACCTTGATGGCATCTGTTCCTGTGATGCGCTTCTGGCTCTCCTGGTCGCGCAATATTATGAATGGCCGACCATATTCGTCAAATGCGAACGTACCTGGAAAGGCGTTCATGCTTTTTTAATTTTAAAGAATGCGGATTTCCACGAATTTTCGAGATTAAATTTTCTTTCAAAACTTATTTTTCGCCTTTAATTCACACCAGTGTGACCGCTGTGGAATCAATGAAATATACCCGCACTGACCCCCGGAAATATACCAAAATATGCCTTCTCATTTTCAAAACATACCGTTAATATACCAAAAAGTTTAGCAAATAAGCCAGTATATGCCACAGCAATCATAAAACGAATACAGCGCATACGTAAAAAGCAAAACGAAATCTCAGCGTTACAATATTAAAATACCATCACCGCCCGCATCAAAACTTTGCCCTTACGTTTTCGTTGTCTAAATTGATATATTTCATAGATATTTTTTGGTATTTTACGGTATGTTTCTGGGGGTCAGTCACACTAACGAGTATATAAAATCGAAGTAGCTCTGGCAATTTTCCAAGTGTTTTTGTGGACGACATCAAGGTGCTACGTTTTCGTAGGCAGTTTTTTCCAACTGAACAGCGAATTTCTCCGTGTCAAAACTGAAGTTTTGTATAATTTCAATTATTCTTTGTGCGTTAAGTTGCAACCATTAAGTGTAAAAATGCCATCAAGTATGAATAATAAACTGTAAGTAATGGTTCCAAGGTGGTGCCATACAGAAGAAAGTGTGCAAAATCGATTTTGTAGTGCAAATGAAAGATAATAGTTTATGTTTAAGCCAACGTATAAGTTAGCCACCGTTAGGTCTAAGGTGAGGCAATATATATTTAAACTGTCCTTTGCTTTAATTTCTCAAAAATAAAGGTTTAGTGTCACGGCAAAATGTCGCCCACCCACATAAAATGGCGGACAATGTGTGACCGTGCAGCGACCGCCAGCTTCGGATATACTGAAATTCGGGGAAAATAGTGCGTGTTTTCGTAATGAAAGAACTTTCATTATTGCATTGATAGTTTCATTGTTCATTGTTCATTGTTTCATTGTTTCATTGATCCCGATAACTCAAGACAATCGGAAAGTGGCAACGCTGTTGTAGGCGGGAACAGGGCTGCCAGATCGCAGCTATAGTCTCTTCTCTGTTGCACTTAAGCCTGTCACACAAGGGAAAATTCCATTCGACTCGCCATTGCACTTGCACACGCTTGCGTGTGCAAGCGAGACAGGCGAATGAGCAAGAACAGGCAAACAACAAACCAAGATCTCCCGATATTAGGTCACCGCTAGCCAGCCCAGAGTGTTTGCTTCTAGAAGAATCTTCGTTGAGGGCATCCGAGGGTGGGATTTGATTTCCCGCCACCATAGCCAACGTCTGCGCTTGCACGTTTTAATCTTATCATAAGAGCAACATATAATCGTTCCTCTTATCGCTGCTTTATCTTGCTTGTTTGCTTTGTGACACTGCTTTTGTGTTAAATCTCCACGGTTTGTTTGCCTATTTCGACTTTTTTTTTACTGCGTCTTAAAAATGTTTGCACTGAGTGCTGAAACACCCCATATGAGCAGTGATCCTCCAATATTTGCATTTGCTGACGGCTGTCATGCCGTCCGTCCCGTCTGTTTGACAATGTTACACAAGCGATCCATTTACGTGTGCTTATCACCCATGCTAGACTCCCTCCTATCTGGAGATCTAATCTGCATTGGCTGCTATAATGCTTTTGTCTGCAGGGGCAAATAACTCAATTATAATACTTGGCGGTGCCACATTATTGCCGCTTGTAGGGTTAGTTTAAAAACATGCCATTGCTGTTTCTCTGCAACAGCAAAAGGAACCGCTATCACGTTGAAACTTGTTTATGGCAAATAAATTTCGATTGGGTGGCATTGTTATTTTAGCGTTTATTATTCGTAGATTATTTACATTGATTTGCGCGAAACGTCGCACACGTGCTGCCGAAAAAGCTTTCAACCCACATTTAGCTGAAATAAATCTTGATCATGACAAAAACAACTCATTTTTGTATGTATTTACATATCCGATATTTACGTATGTACCTGTATGTATATTTAGGTCGAGCTTTTGCGTATAATTTCCGTAGAAGGGCCTGCATTTTGCGGTGTTTAGACATGCAAACGTACTTAAAATTATTTCCACCTTATTTATATGATATTTCGGGAGGGGGAACTCTGTTTGACCTTGGGACAGACAGAGGCCTCTATAAAACCTGAGGAAAGTTCTTCGTATATGATATGGCCTGTCCTACTGTACCAGCTTCCACTTCAAATAGTATGTGTTTCTTTAGTACCTATACCTATTCATCGGCAGCAGCCCATTTATCTCATAAATGACGACGCCACAGTGTGTATGTCGTCAGTTGCCAGCCAACGCTCAACGCTGCGCCACGGGAAACGGGAAACCATTCAGCTTTAAGCAAGAGAACAAACGCAAACGGAGGGAGAAAACAGAATCCGATCCGGATAAGATCTTTCGATGTAAACCTCCATCCTCAATAAGGAACACCAGCAACTATTCTGTGATAAGCAAACAGCTAAGTGGGAGACAACTCTGAGGCTGTGATAAATTCCCGTACAAATAGCTACTCCAATTGTGCCCAGCCATATCTATGACATCGATCAACATGCAGCCAGAGCACCCGAGTCAGTGGTACGTCCACAACACAACCCCTCATAGGTATATCAATCAATGGCATTACATTAAATTACGATTACATTACGATGTCGACGCATCCGTGAATTGCATCCAGTGGGTGTTAAACGGTTGACGTACCCAGCAGGCCCGCTCTTATGGGGCTATCGTCTGGGCTTGTGCTCTCGGAGCTTTCGCTCTGACTGGCCATCACTCTCAATTTGAAATGCCTTGCCAAGTGCGCAATTGGTTGGCGGCATGGATGAGAAAAACAAAATACTTTGCATATTTCCCCGTCTGCCCGGTCAGCCGGCAAGCAGTAATACATTCATAGTTGGTATGTTTGTTTGTGCTGTCCCCCTTAATGTTCGACTAACACTCGGGAAGAACACAAAACACAAATGCGAATAAGTGAATAAAGAGAGCTGTCCGTCGACAGTCCATATACCAATTTAATACTGTCATGGAATTGCTCTCTTTGTATAATATTCGACGTTGCGCAGAACTAATCAAATGTGATCCACTAACAGTTGAAGATCTGTCTCTTGTCTGTCGTCCCCTCCCCTCCCCTGGAAAATACTCAACGAATAGTGAAATAAAGAGAGCTATCCGTCGACAGTCAAGTTAAGCCGATTGTAATACTGTCATGGAATTGCTCTCTTTGTATAATATTCGAAAAGCGACGACAAATGTGCATAGTTTAGTAACTTGTACTTCGTCCAAACGGTGGCTGGTTCTGGTTAACTTCCTTCCTTCCTTTCAGGCCACAATAATACAAGGAGGCTGGTTTTCATATTCAAGTTTCTATTTGCCTTTTAATAATTTCGTCCCGCCCGCTAATAATAGAACGCCCTCATCTTAAATATTAGAAAGAATGCGTAGTTCGAATCCTTGAGTTACAATCCTTACAAACCGCCGCGTCCACGTCCGCCAGTGGGTCCGCCTTGCCATGCTCCGCGTCCTCCACCGCCTGGAGCCCCAGGAGGACCGCCGCTACCTCGTCCTCCGCCCGGAGGGCCGCCTCTGCCACGACCTCGAGCTGGAAATCGACCAAACGTTAATATGCATGCTGAAGTGACGCGCCGCGCGGTAAAACAGAAAACTACACTACTCACCCTGTGCACGCAGAATGGCCGCCTTGCCGCGGCCGGCCGTCCCTCCCAGGCCCTTGCCGGTCTGTTTCTTGAACATCGGCGCGTTCTTCAACATGTCCGGAAGGATCAGAAAACGGATTTTCGAGCCGCGTATGTAGACATTCTCCAAATTGCCCGTGCGTCCGTCCCGGTAGGTGACTGTAATCTGTGTCATTTGGCAATTCATGTTGTCTTCGGCTTCGATGAGTTTGCCTCGGTAAACTTCGCCGGTAATAGTCTCGCAAGTGATTATGTGGCCTTCGGCCTCATGTAAAACCTTAATGGGCACACCGATCGACATTTTTAAGTTATTTTAATGTGTTTTCCGTACGTTTTTAGCTTTAATTATTGATTTTTCGGCACTTCGACGCCACTGAAATATTTTTACAAATTTTCTTTGCTCAAACGTTTACGAGTGTGGAGAGTGGCTGTGTGTGTGTGTGTATGTGTCTGCCGCCGTTTTGACAGCTGCCAACCGCCATGTTGTTCGCGTGAGCGCAGGGCTGTATTTTTGCCTCACGACTTTCACGTCCCTATCGATATATTTTATCGTTAGTCAGCCCTCGACTTAGATAAGGCCGCGCGCGTATCTAATCTTTGAAATATAAACACGTATATGTGCATGTACGTACACTTTTGTCGCCATTAAAGCGTATTAAATTAATTGCCTCTACATTGCTGATAAGAGTACTGTCGTTGTGGCTGTTAGTTTGCCCTCAGCTATTGCGCCGTTAAGCAGTGTTTCTCGCCACAAATTAACTCCAAAATGATTTGGTAAATTTTGCTTCTACAAAATCGAGGAAGGCATAGCTCGCAACTCCATTGAGAAATGGAATTTAAACGAACTTTTTTTTAAATTTAATCTTATAAATTTAACTTCTCGTCCACAGCGACCCAATGTTTAGTAGTATTGTTAGAAGAGATTTTAATGATAGCGGAATTGCCGATGGCAAGTTCCGCACCATCTCGACTTCGTCTTGCGCCACGAACATGTCGAATGAGTCCTACCGCATCTCTCTCGGCGTAGGGCCTCTGTGGTGGTCCTGATGTCCCTGTCCACCACAGAACAGATCACGATAGGGCATCGCTCTTAACGGGTAAGCAGTGCTAATGGAGAATGAGTTTTGTGTTCTTCAGCTGAACTTTTTCGTTTATTTCACAGGCTACAGCCGTAAGTCTTCGGTCGACTCGGCTGGTGGCAGCTTGTACGAGGCCAGTTCCCGGTCTTCATCGCCCTCCTCCTCTTCAGAATGCTCTGACTCGGAGTCGCAAAACGATATCCATTCGTTGTGCTCGGACGATGATTGCCAGGAGGTGCTGCGCCAGATCTTGCAACATGACCAGCCAGTGCAGATTTCCATCAAGCTGCATGTGACCGAAGACCAGTACACGAATTGGATGTCGATTTTGAACCCAGTAAACAACATGCTATATGTCGCCTTCCCCAAGGATCTACCGCCAGCTGGCTCCAAGGAGACCTTCCTTTCCTTGTTGGAGTTTGCCGAGGATAAGCTTGAGGTTGACGGCATTGTAATGGCCATGCGCAAAGACCATCCGGAGCGCACACGTTTGATTGAGGCATTTTTGTTTATGGGTTTTGAACCAATGTCTAGAAAGGCACCACAGGCCCCACCATCGGCCATTAATGACAAGGATAACTACTATTTTCTCTACACCATCGAGGGGTAGTTCTACGGCGCGAGAAACGATTTCCGAAGCAAAGCATAACCTTTATATTATTACAACACTAATATATATTCACAAACTGCAATACACGTAGCAGCATCCCCAGATATTACGCCACGCCAATCAACATATGTACATCATATATATACCAATTGACATATTGTCCCCAATGTGTTCAACTCAATGAAATCAAACAATTTATTCAAATCTTGGTGTGTATGTATTCGAAAATCGTTTTTAAGTCGTCTTTAGAGCGACCGTAATTATTGTGGTAGTCATTTTATAATTCCCACTACTAATCTATTTGCGCAAACCACGTTAAGAGCAAGCTAAAATTGTCGTAAACTATTACATCAAACTATAACCGAAATATAAAAACCACGAAAATGTAAAAAAAAAGTTAAAAACTAAGAAATGTAAAAAAAAACAATGTATTAGTCGTAAGTTTATTTGTGAATTAACCAATATTTTTGGATTTATGTTTTCGCTTTTTGTTTATATTCATGTTTTTTTCAATCAGTTTATTTCAATTATTATATTTAACCATATGGGAATGAATCATAAGAGTAATCCCAGTTTTTTTTTATACTATCAAATATTTTATTTATGTTCTTATTAACATTTTGTACGTTTACCTTTTTGCAAAGAGAAGAGAAACTGAGCTGCTAAGGAGCACTCAAAGGGAAACACACATATTCATGTACAAGCTAGTGCACCTACGCCAGTAAATACATACCTATATATGCAGATACAATATTAATAAAAATATAAATCAATAGATTCAAGAACAAAAATCATTCAAACGGGAGTAATTCTTTTAATCGTATCGTATCGATAATGACGCAAGAGGTAAATGCGCAATATAATTCTCAAGTGGAACATGTCAGAGCATCAGATTACATTTTTAACACACACGACGGACATTTTGATGTTACAACCAATCCGTGTCAATGCAAAGTCAAACTAAGCATTACTCAGAGGTCTCGCAGACTGATGGTATTGGGGATTTATATTTATTGATCGTATCAAAATTTGTCTTTGGATCTGCAGCAGTCTTTTCTAAGCTTTCTAGGATCACCAAGAGATTTCATCAAGAACAAATAATTTCTAAGCGACTCAACAGATGTCAGCTTGAAAAGATAAAAAATGTATTACCTTTTGCCAAGTACTTACAAATGTATGTATATGCGTTGTTTTTATATGTCTTATGTCTTATAGTCGTACTGAAGCATCTTTCAGAGCGAGTTCTTTAGCTGTTGTACATTGGAAAATTCAATGACTCCATATTGTTATATAAATATGTATCCCTCACTGTGTAGTGTACATATATATTGAGTGTATGGGCGATAAAACTCTGACGAACTCAACAAAAGCATGTACACACATATGCGGCTACGAGCAGAGAGTCGGGCATGGGCATGGGCATGCCGGGGTATATAACAGATAACGATATAACCTGGAACGAAAGAGTTTCCGAAAAACAGTCGAGTCTCGAGCGCCAAATCGTTTACACGACGCAGAAGCCTTGTAAAGCGGACCGACATCATCCAGAACAGAATAGATACTATATATAGAGATATCATGTTCAAGGAGGTAAGTGTTTGATGTGACCGGGGAAATGGGGAAACGGAAAGAGAAGGACGGGACCTTATCTTATCGGCATAGATAAGTGATTGCTTTACTTTCAATCCATTTTTCGATTTTGTTTATTCAAATTACTTTGATTGTATCTGATCGCTGCTTCAGATTATTATATTGGTGATGCTTTTGGTGGCCGTGGCCCTGGCAATGCATCCGGTCGAGGAAAACCAACACCGTCAGATTTCCCACCATACTCGCAATGGGCATCATCTGAAGACAGTTAAACATCATTCGCACGGTCAGGAGCACATCCAACATGGAAAGCTTGCGGTTCCTGTTCCTGCGCTCGTTTTGCACGGCCACAAGCAGCACAAAAAAGCCGCGTCACACAAGAAGCCCGGCAAGGCAACCAGGTTGGTGCAGGGCCAGAAGAAGCATCGACACCAGCAGCCTCAGAGCAATCAACGGTCGAAGAACCGCAACCAGTCGCATGATGGCAGCCACCACCAGAAGCGCCACTCGGGGTCGCGTCGCCATTTTTAGCCAGTAAGTTCTGTTCTGTGTATATAAATGTATCCACAATAAAGCAGCGGAGCAGCCAGTAGTGGAATTCACGAAAATGTGTTACATCTTCACTCGACCTTTTAATGCTCGAAGATTGGTTGTGTCGGGCATGTGTGTGTCGTAAAAGCATTGGCTGGGAAAGAAGGCCCAAGCCAGTCCACAGGTTCAGGTCGGGGGTCTCAAATGTTTAATTGCGCTTGGATAACTTGGCTTTCTGTTTATGTTTCTTCGAAAGCGCTAACAGTGTCGAAATCCGGTTTTCGCGAGCGAAGTGTAGCAAAAATAATAAAGCATACAATACTATGTTTTGGTTTTATTGCAATTATGCCGGTGCGGTGTTAATTGTTTCTGGGGTCAAAAACTCGTATGATGGCATTAGTCGAAAAACTTGCAGGTATTGTTGGGAAGTTTTCACAATTTCTTTAGACACTGCGGCTATGCCATGCATATTTAGTGTTAATTTAAGGATCGAGTATTCATGGAGTGGGATCGCTTTAGCCCCAGACGGAATAGATTCGGGGACGATAGTAACTTCCGTAGCTGCGGTATCCACCATAGCCGCTGTATCCTCCGTATTTATATCCGCCTCCGTATCCACCATATCCAGCGTAGTACGCTGGAATAGGAGCCGCATAGTAGCCATAGCCGATGGAATCGGCAGCGGAGAGGTCACCCTCGGGCATGGAAATTTTTCTCTTGGAAGAAACAAATCGAATTGGTCTGCATAGTGTGATATAAACTGTAACTTTGTCACTCACCTGCACGGGTACGGCAAAAGTAAATGATGCTAAAACAGCCAGGACTAAAAGCACAGAAAATAACTGAAATAAAAACAGAAAAAATAATATTTTAACAAAATCGACCCTTCCTCTGCATACTCACCTTTGACATTATTAAAGATTTATTTATCTTATTCCCGACAGAGCTCTGTTTAGAAGAAATATTTTTTTTCAACTGTTATTGCCGCCAACAAGCCTACAATATTTATAGTGGTTTTATTGTACCGTACCGAAGATCGATTCAACTCATCTTCATTGTTTGTGCAAGTCTGGGAAAGTCGTTATCCCAATCAGGGCTAGGAAGATACATATCTAAATAAGATAATTTTAATTATCCATTTTCCACATATGTTCTCCGATGGGGCATTTACAAGTGTGTCATAGTGATTTCAGTGAATAAAAACATTATAATGAAATTATTTTTTTGTCAGAGTACTGTTTAAATATTTAATTTATTACTTCTAACGATTCAAATATTTATTTATGGATAGTTCTAGCCAGGGACACAGGCAGTGAGACTTATAATCACAAATGGATATCACTTTTGGATAGACATATCACCGTTTAAAAAATGTATTTGAACTTAATTTATATTTTCATTGGTAATACAAAATACAGAATAAGTCTTAAGAAATAACATAGCTGCATTTTTTTCATACACCTGATATTTTTAAACTCCCAAGTCTTATTTTTTATCCCTGGTACTATCGCCGTCATTGTCGTTATTGGAAATGGCTACCCTACCGCACTTCTCGTCTCGTGATATTTTGACGTCGAAACTGAGTTCAAGCACTACCCATACAGTATTATATGGTTAGTGGTTCGAGGTATACTAAAGGTAAATAACGGTATATTTCATTAATCTTTTATATTTCATTTTTATAGTTAAATGGTCAAGAACAGAGGGAAATTTTCGTTGACCTTCTTTGTTTAGACCTTATTTTATAAGGAATACAATAAATGGGAATCTTTAGAACAAGCCGGATTGTAGAAAACTGATTCATCTATCTGATAAATCGATATGTTCAGTGGTTTAAGTCCTAACTAGCTAGCTATTAAACAGAATATCAAAATCGAGGAATATCACTTGTCGTGTCCGTCAGTATATTAACGGTACATTATTAAATCAAGTTCCAATTTATTTTTTAATATATTATTCGCTCTCAGTGGTGGTTTTTTAAAATTTGCTCTCTTTTACGTGGTGTGAGCCGCATGTTCCTAACGGGAACCGTAGCAACAATGATTCTACTTCATCGTGTGAATATTAATGATATGATTTTAAAAATTATTAATGGATATTTTTTTGGTATTCAGTGGACGAAGAAAATATTCGGCAATATTTTGTTGTTTCATAGTCGCGCGAACAAATGTTTACAGAAAATTCGAACGTGTTGGTTGAAAGTTGAAAACGCGTAAGGTAAACCGTTACTTTTGTAACGGATCTTCTATCGAAAAGTATTTTTGGGTACAAAAGGAAAATATTTATTATTGATGACAGGCCGTCTGGCTAAGTGGTGGCCAAGTCGGGTCTGGCGTGGATTTAGATGACAAAATGAATCTGGCGGACTCCCAAGATGTACGATTCTAAAATTTAACAAGATCCCACTTTAATATCTTACTTTCCCTGATCACAAAAATAAAGTTTTCTAAAAACAGGAACGCTTCTCGTCCAGGGGTATTTAATATATCCACGAAATTTATGTAACTTTAATCTATTTTACGCATTACAGGTAAAAGATGTAAGTGGTCATTTTTGTTTTGTAAGTAAAGAGGAGGAAGGAGCCTTTACAAACAGTATTATTTTCCGCGGTTTAACAAAGGGTGCTCAACTTTTTAAATAGAGGGGTGCTAAGTGGGTTAAGTCTCGTTTGATCGCAGGATTGCACTGATTTTTTTATTATATGGTATTTATTTTGTGGCCGGATGGTATTTTTTATCGTCACGGTCACGCTGGCTGTGACGGTATATTTGATCAAAAAATCCACAGTCACACTGATGCCGCCATTGAAAAAAAAAATTTTCATTTTGCAAAACCGGGAAAATTATTCATTGTTGGCGAAGGCGCCTTTAAATATTGTAAATTGGGTAAGTGTCGGATTGGAAAGAGCGTCTTTTTACTATTTAAACCTAGAATTTGTATTTAAAAACCCCACTTTTGTGGCATTTCTGGTGTGGTGAAAATTGCAAAAGCCGCTGGTGGCGGCGGTGGCACGCCATCAACGTTCCTCTCGGAGAAAACGTGTACATAAGTACATATATAGTATATGTGTCATTTAATACTAATATGATAAAATCTTCTATAATTTACCGACCGCCCAGGACTGTGCATTGCATGCAACTGAAAAATGTCCATTCCGCCTTATATGATACCGCAAAATGCATGGGCCGCCCAATTGATGGCCCAGCAGGCATACGCAGCTGCACACGCACAGCAGGCACAATTGCATGCGCAGCAGCAAATGGCCAACCAGATACAGCAAATACCACCACCCGGAGCACCCTTACCGCCAGCAAGCGGCCATTCTAATGGCATACCAATCCCGGCCGGTGGCCAGGGGCAATCTGGGCTGGGACAAATTCCCACGCCAAAGCCGGACATACTTACAGAGGATAAGCTGCAGGAGAAGGCGCTGAAGTGGCAGAATCTGCAGTCTAAGCGTTTCGCTGAGAAGCGAAAGTTCGGCTTCGTCGACACACAGAAGGAGGACATGCCGCCGGAGCACATAAGAAAAATTATACGTGATCATGGGGACATGACTTCGCGCAAGTATCGCCACGACAAGCGTGTTTATTTGGGCGCTCTGAAGTACATGCCACATGCTGTGCTGAAGCTACTGGAAAACATGCCCATGCCATGGGAGCAGATCCGGGACGTGCAGGTGCTGTATCACATTACTGGTGCCATAACCTTTGTCAACGAAATACCCTGGGTAATTGAGCCGGTTTACATTGCTCAGTGGGGGTAAGATGCAGTCGATTTCTTCAATGGTATTTGTACTAATATTAACAATGTTTCTCTCAACAGAACAATGTGGATAATGATGCGTCGCGAGAAGCGTGATCGTCGCCACTTCAAGCGAATGCGATTTCCGCCGTTCGACGATGAAGAGCCGCCACTGGACTATGCGGACAACGTACTGGACGTAGAGCCATTGGAAGCCATTCAAATAGAGCTCGATAATGATGAAGACAATGCCGTGTACAAATGGTTCTACGACCATCGTCCCCTCGTAGAGACGCCGTAAGTGCTATCCTGAGTAAATTGATTCGGTATTGTGTAATAATTGAATCCTTTCTATCCACGATTCTAGCTATGTGAATGGGTCAACCTACCGCAAGTGGAACCTGTCCCTGCCTCAGCTGGCTACTCTTTATCGGCTGGCCAACCAGCTGCTCACTGACCTGGTCGACAACAACTTCTTTTACCTATTCGACCCAAAGAGTTTCTTTACCGCCAAGGCTCTAAACATGGCCATACCTGGAGGACCCAAATTCGAGCCACTCATCAAGGATAATAATGTTGGGTAACGAAGACATTTTCCAGCCCCAAATCTCGGTCGTTGTTTGAACCCGTTTCTCCTTCCAGGGATGAGGACTGGAATGAGTTCAACGACATAAATAAGGTCATCATCCGCCAACCCATTCGTACGGAGTACCGCATTGCTTTTCCTTATCTGTACAACAATATGCCACATTTTGTGCATCTAAGCTGGTAAGAAAATGGTAGAGAAATAGAGAGAGATGGGGGATCTGAACCCTGGATTTACGCGCCTGAAGCGTTTCCAAATGAGAACTTCACTGGAAACGATTCGCATCGCGACAGATAAACGACACACTCCCAGTTTACTACTAATTTAGCGATTAAAGGGAGTTGCAGGGAATATGTTCGTGACGATTGAACAGCATAAATCGTGGCTGCTGATACTTGCATACACTGGAACAGGAAGATAGCTGCACCAAGATTTAACTATGATATTTATTTCGAATGTTTGCGTTTTACTTTTAGGTATCATACACCGAACGTGGTCTACATCAAGACCGAAGATCCCGATTTGCCTGCGTTTTACTTTGACCCACTCATCAATCCCATTTCGCATCGCAATGTGAACTCCAAACTGCAGGAGCCCCTGCCCGATGACGATGAGGACTTTACGCTCCCGGATGAGGTGCAGCCGTTTCTGCAGGACACGCCGCTCTACACGGACAACACCGCCAATGGAATTGCTTTGCTATGGGCACCGCGTCCCTTCAACATGCGTTCCGGTCGGTCCCGTCGAGCCATCGATGTGCCGCTGGTCAAGTGCTGGTACAAAGAGCACTGTCCTCCTGGCCATCCGGTGAAGGTTCGTGTCAGCTATCAGAAATTGCTGAAATATTATGTACTAAATGCTCTGAAGCACCGAAAGCCGAAGCCGCAAAAGAAACGGTAGGATATATACATATTTGAATTTTAATGAATGTTCCCGTGTTCAAATCATTTTTAATTAACAACCGAGTCGATCTATCGATGTCCGTGCTTATATGTCCGTAGAGCCACTGTTCTTAAAAAACTCTAGGTGTATCTAGTAGTTATCCTAGTGCTAGTCTATTCTTCCCTCTACAGATGATATATATATACATATATTCTCCCTTGTAGATATCTATTCCGGTCATTCAAGGCCACGAAATTCTTCCAGACAACCACCTTGGATTGGGTTGAGGCTGGATTGCAGGTTTGCCGTCAGGGATACAACATGCTAAATCTCTTGATTCATCGAAAAAATCTTAACTATTTGCATCTGGACTACAATTTCAACTTGAAGCCGGTCAAAACATTGACTACCAAAGAGCGCAAAAAGTCGCGTTTCGGCAATGGTAGGTAGCAGAGAGTACTTCTCGAAGGGATTGTTTGTACTGTGTGTTCTTGTTCTTTATTTTAGCGTTTCATTTGTGCCGAGAGATCCTGCGTCTGACCAAGCTCATCATCGACTCCCACGTGCAGTATCGTCTGAATAATGTGGATGCTTTCCAGCTCTCCGATGGCCTGCAGTACATATTCGCGCATGTCGGCCAGCTCACTGGCATGTATCGCTACAAGTACAAGCTTATGAGACAGATAAGAATGTGCAAGGATCTGAAACATTTGATCTACTACCGCTTCAACACAGGACCTGTGGGCAAGGGGCCTGGCTGCGGCTTTTGGGCAC